CCACCGCACTTATAAGCTGCCCTAAACGAGCCCTTAATTTTTTGAAGTCACATAAAAAAATATTTCTATTATTAATCTTTCTAAAATGGAATACACATTTTTTTGTATGTTTAGAACATTAAGGTAGGATAAACATAGATATTAGATTTTAAATATTAAATATGTAAATGTAAATTTACCATTTACTTTTAATGTTTTATTGTTTTGGTTTGATTTGAGGTTAAAAAGGTAGAGTAAAATATGATAAAATATTAAGTATTTAATATGCATCACATGTAAGAAATTTTATGAAGATATTTCATGGATTCAATTAATATTTTACAATGCTTAAATTTTTCGTGTGAGTTAAAAAGCTAATTCATCTTGACAAATTTTCTATTAAACACAAATTTAAGAAAATGTTTAGTATCCATGTATATTTTATATCATTTATATGAGTTTTTCATATTTGGTATACTTTTTTTTTCATTTATTATTTTAAAAAAATATATTATAAATATCTTTTTTTTAGTTGTATGTCATAACAAAAAATTACAAGCAAAATGTCATTAAAATCTAACATTAATATTTTTAAAATTTAATCATTTATTTAAAAAAAGAAGTAATTATAAATATTATAACTTTCTTATAAATTCTCAATTAAATATAATTATATGAACATATGATTTATATTTTGATATAAGAATATATCAAAATTTATTTATATAATTTTTAGTTTAGGAAAAACAACTCTTGGAGATTATCTGTTCTTAAATAGAGAATGTGTCTTATTTCATGCTGAAAATGAGACAAAAAAACATCTTTTCTTTCCCAAATGTTACCTTTTACTTCTTTTGAGTGGAAATGCCTCCCCACCAAGTGGGATAGGGGTTTTGTTGTTATTGTTGTTGTTGTTCAAAATTGTTACAAGAGAAAAAAATTAATAGAATTATTAGGAATTCATCTTCTGCTAAAGTTCTTATCACGAAAATTCGAAAGGCTATCAAGCTCAAGATGATATTCCCACTCAAATAAATAAATTATATAATTTATGATAAATTTTTAGATATGTGTTCTATTTCTCATCTTTTGAAGATTTGGTAAATCGAAGCTGTCAGTTTTTAATCTCTTTGATGGACGTCAAATTAGTTCTATGAGAGATTTTACGAGCTATGATATTTTCCAATGGTGTCAATATGACTCAATTGACTTTCAAGTTTTTTTCACTTTTTGGTTGCAATATGCTGATTATTTCTTTCAGTTTGAGGTATTCCTTCTGGAATTTAATTGGGTGATATTATTTTTTTTTGAATTTTTTAAAGAGAAGAGGGAGAATTTTATTACTAAACTTTGCTGAGTAGTTTTTGGCTTAAATCACAACAACATAGTTATGACTATTTATAGGCA